TGCTGCTCTTGACACATCCACTGTGAGAAGGAACAGTCCCCTCTGAATTCACTGGCAAATTCTCAGGTCCAGAATTAACACCCCTGACAGACTTCTGTCTTTTCCCCCTCAGGGAGAGGGGGCAAGGACTCTCTCACCCATTTTGCACATCCGAGTGACTGTATATGAAAATACCTGAGAGCAGAACCCCAGGAGGACTTGCAGAGTCAGAGAACGGAATAGCAGCCTGAGATTTTCCTCTGTCCTCAGTCACCAACCTGGGGATTTTTACATTCCCATAGGAGAGAAAGAGAAGGCTATGAAAGAGGAATAAATCAAAGTGACAGAATTTCAAATATGCCTTTGGGAAATAGGAGGCAAATTGGTTTGAATCAAGGTTTCTCTGGGCCTGTTTGAATGGCTCTCTGTGCTCACAAGATTACAGGAAAGCATCTAACAGATGCTCTGACAGCTTTAGTGCATCTCCAGGTTAAGGGACTGTGGGGCAACCTGGCTTATTACCTCCACCAATGCATGGTACCGCTTAAGTCTGGGGATGTAGCGTTACAGAGTATGCACTGGGACCCACCGCCGGAGGCATACTCTTATCAGCTCCCTTACCCTTCTTCAGTCTCGTTAACGATATCACAGATCTCCATGTTGAGAGCCCAGTCCTCGCTCCTCAGGGATCCATCTGTAGCTCTCTCTGGAAAAAAGAAACCAAAGCAGGACAAGGCTAAGAGCTCTCTCACAGGTTGCTGTTCAGGTGTCATGAACTGTCATGAGGCCCCAGATCCTAGTGTCACTCTCCATGGCTTCCACCAGAAAGTGTAACTGCCATGAATCAAACTGCAATGTCCGGGCCACAAAGTGCAGGACACTAGGAGTCTCTACTGCAAAGTCCGTGGTTGGCTGGGACTGAGAGGGGTGTTGGCTCAGCTTTCCCTGCAGCAGGCATGCTACAAGCACACGCATCACAAGTTCAATGGTGTCCTACACAAAAAGAGAAAGGACCTCAGCAGAAAATGCATGACTTCAGCTCCACAATCGGAGGGAAGGCGGCTTGTTTCCTTTGCTGCGGCAGGGCCAGCACAGGAAACCATGAGTCTGGTCTGCTCTCACTGTCTTGGATCTAATGTCAATAGCATCACTCTTGATTTGCACCAAATTAAGGAAACAAAAGAATCAACCTCCTTCCTTCTATATAGGTCCTACAAAAACAAGCAAGCAAGCAAACAGCCAAAGCAGTGCTTTCTGTTTTTGAACATTTACATTCCTCCCTCGAACTTCTGGCGAGTACGGACAGAAGTGGTCTGCAGGCTCAAGTTCAAGCAATATCATTTCAGCTTCAACTGTGTACCCTTTAATTAAGAATTCCTGAATTGGCCTTGATGTTATTCATGGCAGAGATTCATGCAACAAACAGTCATTACTGAGAGCACCCATGCTTCCACCCTGTAATCAGCCATGTCTCAATCCCAGCTGGGCTGGCTGACTGATGTCTTTAGGGACAGCACCAGGAAAGAGAAAGACCAGTAAGGCAGGCAGAACCCAGGCACTCTCCAGATGATGGAGACACACTGAGAAAAGCAGATGGTGAGCAGAAGGAAAGGACCTTCTTTCCTAGCTTTCCCATCTTCTAAAATGCCCAGTTTGGCAGTTGGTCTGGTTAGTCTTATTTCTCTTGCCCATTTCAGCACCTACAAGGTGCTCTTCAGGAATGTTCAGACCAAGCTAGGTGCTTAAGTGCCTGCATTTCAAAACTGCTCTGCTCTCCTTGCAAAATCTGGAGCTGGCCCTTGCTGCTGTGGGTACTCTACCCCTTGCAGGCACCCTCCTCTGCAGAGCTGCCTTTTCCTGTTTTTGATAGCTAATGATCTGTCTGTGGAACGAAATGAAATACCCATTCACACAGTGATATTGGGATAGGGACCATAACATGGGAAAAAAAAGATTTTTAACTCCTGTGTGGGTAAACACATTCATCATGTTTTAGGATGTGCTGTTTTTAAGGAGCAGGCAGAGAGACACTCACAGCACTCTGCAATACAGCCACACTGCCTTCATCTCTTACACGTCCCTCCCACAGATTACACACTTCACAAGGCGAAGCTACCTATACTAATCTTATCATAATCTAATCACCACCTTTTCTGCTGACTAGAAAATATAATGATTACACTGTGATTACACTGATTCTATTGTGATGGCTACAATCAGATGGAAGAGGGTAAACAAGGGAAGGTGAGTGGCAGAGCATTCTTGATGCTTTTCCACATATTTGAATGTCTGGTTACTATTTCTGCCATGTTATAATATCCTGAAGGCCTCTTGGGTCAGGTGACGTTTTTTCACTTCAGCAATTAATTTTAAATAGGAATTCTAGTCTCTGAAGATCTAAGCTTCTTCACTGAAACATATGAGATAGCATTACATGATGTGGTAGAGAATATCTAGGGCAGGGGGTTACATGGGAGCATGCCTGGTGCACAGGTCATACGCAAATGAATGGGTGACGCTGTGGTAATACATCTGGGCAAAATGTTTTCCATGAGGGCTCCTTTGGGTTAGCACTTGGTACAGTAGCAAAGCTCCACGTTCTCTTCTGTTCTGGGAGGCCACACACCCAGCCTTGCCAGCAGGCAGATTGCAACTCAGGTTGGTCTGATGCATTTGGTACACACGGTCACGGTCACAAAGGTACACTTCATTTGCGCTCTCCTCCAGGATGCTGAGGGGCAAATCCTGCTCAGTATACACCTTAGTTTAAACCCTAGTCTAGCTAGGAGTCTCCCTGAACTGCTTTGTTAACACTGACAACGAAGAACACAAATCAGTCACGCAGGAGTTTGCCCTACTAAAAGGGAACATCCCTCTCATCTATGTCCACCCACCTCACCACGGAAGAAGCACACTCTACATGCAAGGAAAAAAACAAAATAAAAACAAATAAACAAACAAAAAATCCCCACAGCTTGGGAACAGATGCAAAAGCTGGAAAATACTGAGCTACAGAAGAAACTGGGGGATGAAATGAAAGTTGTTTCTAACTATGAAGCCTTTGTCATTCAAAAGTCTCTCCAATCCTCTTCAACTTCATTTTCACCACACACAAATGTGAACAGAGTCTGCAAACACCCTTCTTTTGCTTCCCCATACTTGCTGTCACTCTGTAACCTGTTCCTCATCTCCCTCTTTTCTTCCTCCAAATGCATTAGCCCTCTCAAGGTCGAGCAGCAAGTTTGCCTTTCAGAAAGGAATGCAAACAAACCATGTACATTCTTTCACCTGGCTGACCACTTATAGGAAAATGAGGATTCCTCAGAAGCGACACATACAGCCCCAGCAGTTACCCTACAAGGAAACAAAGATCCTGCTGCTATCACCTTCTCTCTGACAATGCTCGATGAAAAGCTGCAGAAAAGCAGCCAATCTGCCATAAATGCAACATACACTCAACACACAAAAATCAGGAAGAGCAGAATTAGAGCATATGGAAAATAGGAATGTGACCATGAAACATTTCCAAGGACAAAGCACTTGAATCTATCCAGTACAGATTAAGACCTGGCCTAGCTAGCCTTGGGACAGCTGGAACTAATGCCCTTTTAATTCTCCTAGCTTCCAAGCACTAAGGGACTGTCCAAACTTAATAAGGTATGCTGGAGTTTTCTCTGAAAATCCTCAACTTTACCCTTTACTAAAGCCTACAGAAGGAAAGGAAACAAAGTCTATTCATTAGTCACATGAAGGATCAGGATGGCTGCCCCTGTTTCATGAGCTGCAATTAGTACATGAGCTGTCTGCCCCTCATGAAATCTGAGCCCACGATGGGAACAGCGACAAGTTCCTAAAAACAGCAAGCGCGGGAGGCAGAGCATGGCTGCCTGCCCATTACTCTACTGGCCAGGACTTATTGGGGAGTTTCTACTACTGCGTGCCAAGGAGCTGATCCCGACGTGCCACAGAAAATGCCACGTGGCAGGGGTTATCAGTAAGTGTATAAATGCTATCTTCTTCAAAGCCTGAAACCAACTGGCTGCTGAACATCCAGAGTGCAAGTGTCCTTCATGAGGCTGCTTCAAAGCCATATTCTTTTGGCAGCCAGTCCGGCTTCTCGGGTGTGACAGCATTGGGTTTTGTCTGATTCCAGCGTGCTGCCTCACAAATTGCTCAGATCAACCCAGAACCTCTGAGGATTGCAATACGGGCCAAACTCACACCATTTGACTCTTTCCTTTCTGGCATTTGCTGCAATCCTGCTTACTGTAACTAAGTTATCAAAACTATCTGGAGTTGTAAGATAAGGAACAATTCTGAACACGGCATCAGTAATACAATGGAGCCGTATGTTCCTTTGCGCTAAGACCAAATTTGACTCAATGGTTTTGTTTCTTTTCAGGTTCATTGTCTCCTCCCTTGTGGCAGGAGAGAGCCTGTTGTTGGACGTGAAATCACATCCACCCGTTTCCTGCAGCAGCAAACCGTTAATATAGTCAATAGCACAGAGAAACATAGGAGTTATGGACAGAAGATAGTAAGCAGGCTCCAACCCCTTTGTTTCCCCTCAAAGATCTGAAGCAGCCACAACCAGTCAGGCAGCTTTCAGGAACTCTTCACAGGTGAAATATTTTCCTGCAGCTCACCAAAAACTACACACCCCTCCTCCTGTTTCCGTACGGTCCCCGGTCTCACTAGTTTTAAATTCCTCCCCAAAGCATTAAAACACTTTCCCACCTATTTCAACAGCAGTTTGAGGGCATCAGCATTTCATTGGACTTGACAGTGTAAGTCCAGTGGAAAGCAACACAAGAATCCTTTCCCCCAGCCTCCCTGCAGTTCATAATGTCCCTGACCCAAACCATCATCCTGTACAAAGTCTCCTTCCTTAGAGCCATGCTTTCTCTTCCCACAAGGAAACTCCAGTACAAACTCAGGAAGGACTCCACCATTTGACCTTACTGTATTTCTCCTTCAAAGATGGAGGGGGACAACTCACTTTCTAAAGATATGCCACCAAACCTCATTCAAGTATGATGATGGACACAGACTTGAACTGATACAAGACTGGGGGTATTTGAGTCTCTGAATTTCTCCTCCTGCTCCCTTCCTGTGAATCAGCTCAGACTCTCAGGCATTAAAACTCTTCAGGGAGCTTTCTTTGCCCTTCCAGATACAGGGAGCACAGAAGACAAGTCAATGCTTATCTGAGAAGCATTAACTTGCAGGCACCAGTCTGTTATTGAGAACAGCTGATATTTGCTTTCCATCAGTTCCCAAGATCCCAAGGTTCAGCTCAGAGGAGTGCAGGGACACTTGTAAGGTGTGATCTAAATGGCTGTGGTGGTTTTTCTGGTGGATTGTGTTTAATTTGCTCCTCCTCTCTCACTCATAAGCAGTAGCAATCTGCTCTCACCAGCTCCCTCTTCCCATTCTCAACTTCTCCTGTTTCCACACACTTAACCTCCTCCCCCCGCCCCCCAAACTCTTCTTTGTCTCTCTATGACATGTTTAGTTTTCTCCCCTATCTGCCTTCACTCACTGGAATAACCAGTCTCTGTCCCTTGCTATAATTACTAGCTATTCCAAACTCTAAGCTTTAAGAAAAGAGAATATTTGTGGTTTCTTCTCCATTTTCACACTCTACAGTTGCCTTGTTACTACTAGAGTGCCTCCTCGGAGTTAGGTTTTCCATATTGAG